TAGTCTCATGTATCTACTTGAGCTAAGAAGCACACTCTTCACGAGTATCATTTTATGTCCCATAGTCCAGTCTAATCTTTGTCTGAAGAGTTGGTCTCAGCAGTGGTTATAGTTTTGGGCTAACAGACCAAGGGTCATGTCTTCCGGGGTCCCTCCAGTCTCAGTCAAACCATTAAGTCTGGTCTTTTTAGTAGAATTTGAGTTCTGCACCCCACTTTTCTCTTGCTCCATCAGGGACTCTCTGTTATGTTCTGTGTCAGGGCGGTTATTGTGGTAGCCGGGCACCATCTTGTTCTTCTGGTCTCAGGCTGATGAAGCCTCTGGTTTATGTGGCCCTTTCTGTCTCTTGGGCTAATACTTTCCTTGTGTCTATGGTATTCTTCGTTCTCCTCACTCCAGGTGGGTTGGGACCAATGGATGCATCGTAGATGGCCGCTTGCTAGCTTTTAAGATCCCAGACGCCATTCACCAAAGTGGGATGCAGAACATTTTCTTAAAAAACTTTGTTATGCCAGTTGACCTAGATGTCCCCTGAAAGCATGCTCCCCAGACCCCCGCCCCTGCTACTCTGCCCCTCAAAGTGTTTGGTTGTATTCAGGAAACTTCTTAGCTTAGTAGAACCAGTCGTTCTTAATCATTATATTGAGTGGCCCTTAAGTAATTTGAAATTACTCTTAAGAGATTTATGAGGTTCATTTGTAATGGAAGTGGTGGTGGTGTTGTTTTAATGTTAGGTACATAAAGAGACAATAGATGCTGTACCAAATGCAATACCTGGGAGAACAGATATAGAATTGGAAATATATGGTATGGAAGGTATTCCAGAAAAAGACATGGATGAAAGACGACGACTTCTTGAACAGAAAACGCAAGGTAAATATTAAGATGTATGCTTTGTCTTAATACAGCTTCACTTTAGAAAGTATGCGTTACTACTTTGAAGTATAAATGTAATGGTAGATGGTAGCTTTTTTCAGAATTCTACTTTTGAATTCTGGTTTTTCTTTATGTTCTGTGTTTAAAATTACATATTACATATGCAATACCATTTGGATCGTTTCTTATATTTTTATTCATAATTGAATTCCTAATTGCATTAACAAGTGTTAAGTCTTTTGAAAATGAAGGTAGCTGTTTTTTAAAGTTCTGATGTTTGAGTTGGAATTTGAAGTCATGTACTATTGAGATGATAAACCCGTTGCTGTCGAGTCGATTCCAACTCATAGCGACTATAGGACAGAGTAGAGCTGCCCCATAGAGTTTCCAAGGAGCGCCTGGTGAATTTGAACTGCCAACCTTTTGGTTAGTAGCCATAGCTCTTAACCAGTACATCACCAGGGTAGGAGCTGTTATTATTCGCCTATGAATTTTTTTTGTCTTGGAAAGCTTTATGAAGAGGTCAGACCTCTTTGTCATCGTTTTACATTTCGAGATGGAAGAAGCAGCTGATTCATCTTGGAAAGCTTTATAAAGAGGTCAGACCTCTTTGTCATCATTTACATTTTGAGATCGGAGAAAAAGCTGTTTTTTAAGTAAAACTGACTGAGAATAATTATTTTACCTCTATAAAAAAAGGAAAAGATATTAACTTTGCTTACTATAGAATGAAACCATATTTGAAGAGTAGAGAAAGGTATTAACTGAATTTTTTGGAAGATAAATCGCAGGAGCTAATTGCACAGAAATAGTTTTTAAAATGTTGAATGTCATAAACTTAGTTTTGTTTTTTTACACTCCATGGAAAAAATTAATTAAAACTTCTTTTAGCAGAGAGTCAAAAAAAGAAGCAACAAGATGATTCTGATGAATATGATGATGATGACTCTGCAGCATCAACTTCATTTCAACCACAGCCTGTTCAACCTCAGCAAGGTTATATCCCTCCAATGGCACAGCCAGGTCTGCCACCGGTCCCAGGAGCACCAGGAATGCCTCCAGGTAACAAAGGTTTATTTAAATTTAACACTTTTAGGATTTTATTGATAATAATGTGGAAGTATTACTTTTTTTCTCCTAATGCTTTAATATTATTATTATTTTTTTTTTTAATTAGGCATACCTCCATTAATGCCAGGTGTTCCTCCACTGATGCCAGGAATGCCACCAGTTATGCCAGGCATGCCACCTGGGTAAGAAGATTCTCTTAATTGGCTTGTGGGCTTATGCCTAGTAATGGTATTTTTCAGTCTGGGTATTATATGAATTAAATGTTACCTTGCATTTTTTGCTTCTAAAAGGTATGGGCTGTATAAATCTTAAATTTGCTTAATAAAGGGGTCTGTAAATAAATTTAAGGAATATAGATTTGCCTCTGAAGAGAATTAATTTTTTTGGTTTTAGGATGTATATAACCAGCCATCTACTTTACTTGCATTTACTGTAATTAAAGTAAATGGTTGTAGATTTGAGTTGCTAAGATTCAGAACTGCCCATGACACTTTATAGTAGTGACAAGAAGCAGACTCTATAAATGTTTTATTTGTCAAAGCATCAAGAGTTAAAATGAATATGAGGTGCTTGTGCCCATCACTTTTACTTAAATATTGTTGGATATGAGAGGTTTACAATACACTTTCCCGCTGTATTTTGAAAATCACAGTTAGATTTTGATTTTGTCATACATTTTCACAGATTGCATCATCAGAGAAAATACACCCAGTCATTTTGCGGTGAAAACATGTAAGCATCTCATTCATAATGTAATTCAGGAGGTATAATCATAATGTCATTTTTTTTGTGTGTTTAGTGATATGTATTCAGTTGACTTCAGAAATTTTCTAACCTTCCTCACTAAAACTTTTAAAATTTGCAAGCTCATTGACACAGGTCTCTTAAAGGAGGTAAATAAAAACTTCCGTGAGGAAATAGTAATAGACCATATAAATAAAGCATTTTCTAAATGTGCAACTGTTTTCCCCAAATTACTAAAAATAATGGGAGTTGGTAATAAGGATTAGTATTTAAGAAGGAATTAGTATTTGAAGAATAATTATTTTGCCAAATTAAATCTTTCATTATTATTGAATGTAATTTTTTAAAATAAATTCTATATATAGAAGTTAATTTTCTGAAAACAGTCTTCAATCAAGAATTGACAGACTTGTAATTTTTTATGTGTATTGGACACTGATATTTGAAGATGAGCTCTTTTAGGGGAAGGAAAATAAATATGGGTTATGTTTATAAATCATGGTTTAGCGCTGGGTGGCTATTCTAAATAAAAATTAGACAATCTGAGTTTAGTTTTGGATATTGTTAGTTTTGGTGATAGTTTTTCCTTGCACTTCCATTAAAAGAAAAATTCTTAATCCTCAGCTTAGATTTGTTGTTTTCCTTTTGAAAAGTCTGACGACTCTAAAAAATAGAGATTTCTTCTTTTTTACATTCTGTGTGGATATTTCTGAAGTGGGACCACAGATGACTTGTCTGTGAGTAGTTGCTTTTCAAATCACACATTTTAGATGAGGCCTCTTGTACACGTTAAGGAGAGTATAATATTCTTGATGACTTTAAAACGTATTAAAATGTTTTTCAACAAAGACTGATTTTTTTTTTTTTCTTTTACTGGTAAACCTCAGAGTTTGCTGGTTTTTAGATTTACTTTGATAGGATTGTCATAGCGTGTTGTGTGTTCTTTCAGCTTGATTGATTTCAGTATTAGAGGTCAAATTCAAGTCTTTTATCCATTATTGTTTCAGGGTTTAGCCAGAATATTCTAATGGTTAATACTCTTAATTAAACTTCAATTGTTTCTTAAAATTTGCTTTCTAATAGAATGATGCCAATGGGTGGAATGATGCCACCTGGACCAGGAATACCACCTCTGATGCCTGGTATGCCACCAGGTAGGAAATGTTAGACAGTTTCCTTTTTAATATTACTGTCAAACTTTATTCTTAAGCTTTTTCAGTAATGGGTTAATGGGTATTGATACAATTCAAATTTTTTCAGAAAATTTTAAAAAATTATTGTGAGAAGTTTTGTGATGGAAACTTTTTTTGTAATAGTAAAAATAGGCTTCAGAGAAGTTCAGATGAGTCATAGAGTTTATGTACTTAAGAGCAGTTATATTCATTAGAAATATTTCAGACTGCAAGTAATAAAGAAATCCTATATTAAACAATTTATTATCTCTTGATTAAAATGAAAAAGGTAGGTTCAGTGACTCAGTGATATCAAGGATCCATGCCTTTTTTTTTTAATAAGTTTTTTTTTTGGTACTTTAGATGAAGGTATACAGAGCAAATTCGTTTCTCATTAAACAGTAAATACACGTATTGTTTTGTGACATTGGTTGTCAACCCTATGACATGTCAACACTCTCCCCATCACCTTGGGTTCCCCATTACCAGCTTTTCTGTCCCCTCCTGCCTTCTAGTCCTTGTCCCTGGGCTGGTGTGCCCACTGAGTCTCCTTTTATTTTATGGGCCTGTTTAATCTTTGACTGAAGGGTGAACCCTGGGAGTGACTTCTTAACTGAGCTAAAAGGGTGTACGGGGGCCATGCTCTTGGGGTTTCTCCAGACTGTATCAGACCAGTAAGTCTGGTCTTTTTTGTGTGAGTTGGAATTTTGTTCTACATTGATCTCAACCTCTGTCCAGAACCCTCTATTGTGATCCCTGTCAGAGCAGTTGGTGGTGGTAGCTGGGCACCATCTAGTTGTGCTGGACTCAGTCTGGTAGAGGCTGTGGTCGTTTTGGTCCATTAGTCCTTTGGGCTAATCTTTCCCTTGTGTCTTTGGTTTTCTTCATTCTCTTTTGCTCCAGACGAGGTGGGACCAGTGGAGTATCTTAGATGAACCCTCATAAGCTTTTAAGACCCCAGACACTACTCACCAAAGAAGGATGTAGAACATTTTCTTTATAAACTATGTTATTGAACTAGATGTCCCCCAAGACCCTGGCCCTAGCTCTCAGCCCAGTAACTCGGTCCCTCAGGGAGCTTGGATGTGTTTGCAAAGCTTCCATGACCTTGCGTTCGGAGAGACCCATGCTTTTATAACTCTACACTTTGTTGTCCGTAGCTTTTCTCCCTCAAGAATGTTACTCAATAGTTAACAAGGTGGCTCAGGCAAGAAAGAGGAGAGAGGCAGATCAATAGCAGCATGCTCTTATTTTTCTTTTATTAGGGTGCAAAATATCTTTCTCATAAGCTCCTTAGCCCCTTACATAGAATTTTTCAGAAATAGGCCTGATGGATCCCATAGTTGCAAAGGAGCCTGGGAAATGAAATGTCTTGACTTACAAGCCTATATAGTGGGAGACACGGTGTAGGGAAAGGTATTTGGTTACTGAAGTAAGTGTTCCCAGAAGCCTTCATGAGGCTGTCTCAATTTATTGTCTTGTATTTTATACTTCTAATAAGCTTGATTTGCAGCCATAGTAGTTTTAGAAGTACTCAAACAATAGTTGATGTAAAAGGACACAGGAGTAATAAAGCAGCAGCAAAATTCAAATCATTGCCAGTGCAGCCATTAATACACAGCCAACTGTTGCACATAACATGCTGTGAGATAGTTGTGGGCACTTAAAGGAATACAGAAAAATGATGTTTATTTGATAATTTGAAGTTGGTAAAAATTATAAATTATGTTGGAAAAGTTTAAAGAATACGTTTGTGATGCATTTTAGGAAATTTTGTTTATAGTGTTTTAAAAAAAATGTTGCTGTTGAGTCAGTTGCAACTCGTAGTGACCCTATACGACAGAGTATAACTGCCCGATAGGATTTTCAAGGAGCGGCTGGTGGATTCGAACTGCCAACCTTTTAGTTAGCAGCCGAACGCTTAACTATTGAGCCCCGCAATTTTTAAAGAAATAACTTATGAAAATTCTGAAAATTTTTTATGGGTTATGAAATTATATGCTATCAAAGGTTTTACTGTAATTTGCATTGCAGTTCAGGGAACACTTAAACATCTGGCAGATGATTGAATTAATTCTTCCATATGTTTAAAATTTTTATAAATAATATAAGTAAGCTTATTTGCTGCTTTGACCATATGCAGGGTCTCAAGTATCTTTTTCACTTCCTAAAATTCTGAAGAGAAGCAAAGGAATGATTTACTGGACATTGAGGCAAGACTGATGCAAGGCTCCAATGCCTAATTTTCTTGGACTTATTTGAGTTGTTCAGCAGTCAATCATTAGTAACTTTGTACTATAGAAGCTAGTTTAATGTGGAATATTTTAACAGCAACGTTTTAGGGAAATACTTTTTCTGAACTAAATGTTTCAACTGCTGAGTCCTCCCCTCCTTGCTCCCAACATTTCTTGTTTACAGGTATGCCTCCACCTGTTCCACGTCCTGGAATTCCTCCAATGACTCAAGCACAGGCTGTTTCAGCGCCAGGTATTCTCAATAGACCACCTGCACCAGCAGCAACAGTTCCTGCTCCACAGCCTCCAGTTACTAAGCCTCTTTTCCCCAGTGCCGGACAGGTAAGGTAAAATTCTGAAAAAGAGTAAGATGCACTTGTTTACAGAAATATTTGGAATTGTCATAGATCAATTTTTTTTGTCTATAATCTTTTAAATAGAATTTATTAAATATACCAAGAAGGCCTGTTCTTGTTCATGTTTGCACACATTTATTTACTTTTAAAGATCGAATGAAACCAGAGATACAGTATGTTACTCTTTCATAGCAGTGAAGTTGTGGTTACTCTTAGCTTTGCTAGAAATGAAAGTTAAGTTTCTGAGAACTTAAATACATGGTAATGTTTAGAGAGCCTTCTTTACCTATTTTGAACTATGAGTGAAATGAGACCAAAGCCATAAATGAAAATCCTTAAGACTTAGCAAATCATTTGTTGGACTCTTTCTCTGGTTTAGAACTGTAAGAAGCTACAGTGCTGTGCTCTAGCCGAAAGGGTGTCATTAATGGCCTTTGACCTAGTCAGGCTTACATTTCCTGCTGGTATTGTCTGTTTTCAAAACTCAGAAGCTACAGATGCTTCACGTTATACGTAGTATGCATATAATGGTTGAAAAGTGCCCTTTAAGCACATTAAACTTATGTTTTTGAGGTGGGTGGGGATTTTGTTTATTTGAGAGAGCATTTGTAAAGTCATTGATAAAGAATTGGATTGAAGTCTCAGTAATGCATCCTTATTCTCAGTTTAAGATCATTCCTGAAATAGTATGATACAAAATATTAGTTTTGAAAAGAAAGGTTTAGTTTTAGAAAAGAAACTATGGTTAACTAGGTTTATTGGCATAGAATTTTTTTTTTTTAATTTGAGGCTCATGAGTCACTTTTTTATTGTAAATGCATTTAACTGCTTGCCTCTTAAGTAGATCAGGTTTGATTGCATTAAAATTAGACTTTACGGAAATGCAATCTTTAGGGGAAAGAAAAAGTCTACCACGTGGCTTATTTTCACCCATTTGTTTGGAGACTTTTCATTGTTTCCTTTCTTTTATGCTACAGATGGGGACACCTGTAACAAGCTCAAGTACAGCTTCCTCCAATTCAGAAAGTCTGTCTGCATCTTCTAAAGCTCTGTTTCCTAGCACAGCACAAGTACGCAGGAAGTTGCAGTTTAAAATTGTTAAAATGGCTTTATAACTTAACCCTTTGGACCCTATTTAGAAAACTATATCTTTTCTCCAAAAAAATACGTTTAATTTTTTAAAAGTTAAATTAGTGGTGAATAAACCAAATTTTATTTAAAAATTTGAATTCATACTACCAGAAAAAAATGTACCCCAAACACATGGTTCTAAAGGGTTAAAAGCATGTAAGCAGTAAATGCATTAGTGGCCAATGGTTAGCCTGATGCATAATAAAACTATAGGCAGTCCCCGGATTACGAAGAAGTTCTGTTCCTAAGTCTGTCTTTAAATCGAATTTGTACTTAAGTCAGAATAGTTAGGTACGGTTCATTTCTAATGTCAGTTAGACAAATGTTTGTCTCAGTATAAATGTACCTTTCTATGCATAATATGCATTAAAGAGACATTTCCAGATACACTAAAACATCTTTAACATAATACAGCAATAATAATAACGTTTTGACGCGTGTAGCAAAGTAGTGCCCATTTGTTATTATGAACCATTGTGTTACGTACCTTGAATTTTTAATAGGCTTTACAGGGGTTGATTCGTAACTGGGTTGTACGTAAGTTGGACATTCATAACCCGGGGACTGCCTGTATTTTGATTTATGCTGTTTAATGAATTACATTTAACGTAATGAAGTTTAGTACTTTGAAGTTGGCCTAGTTTACATGTTTCAGATGTTTGATATTTGAAAAATAACACTTTATTACTGGTAACTTTACTTAAAAGATACTGCTAAATTAATCTTCCATCCATGATAATCATGTAGCCGTTGTTAATTTGAGGACACTGCAATACGATGTAAAGAGAGTACTTCTAAAGGACATACCTTTAATGTACCAGCATTGATATTGTTTCATGCTATGCTTAGTAACTGGAGTTTATCCAAACATTCCATATTGTGTAGTTTCTAACCTTTTTTTTTTTTTTTTGAGTTACTTGGTAGATTAATTACTCAAACAACTAGTATAGAATGAGTAAAAATATTATATAGGCCATTCCATTATGTGGTACTGTATTTTATCAATCTGAAATAAATACAAAGATTTGTAAATTAAAAAAATTTGTGAGGAGGTGGAAGACGTATAATGAGTACTTGTTTCCACTGCTGTGTTTTGGATGTGACTTTAACCCAGCGTATTTTCATGTTCTGTAGGGTTGCCTTGAGTTTCGTGAAATGTTCATCATGTGTTAACCGTTTCAGTGTTGTGTAAAGTTTATGCCCTTTAAGTTCAACCGGTACTATATATATACTCAGCAATTTTGAGGTTTGAAGTTTTGGTGATAAAGGATTGTGTTTTACAGGCTCAGGCAGCTGTCCAAGGACCTGTTGGTACAGATTTCAAGCCTTTAAATAGTACCCCTGCAACAACTACGGAACCCCCAAAGCCTACATTCCCTGCTTATACTCAGTCTACAGCTTCAACCACTAGTACAACAAATAGCACTGCAGCTAAACCAGTGGCTTCAATAACAAGTAAGCCTGCTACACTTACAACAACCAGTGCAACCAGTAAGTTGATCCATCCAGATGAGGATATATCACTGGTAAGTTGTTTACAGTTTTTTACTAGCAGAATTTCATTGGAAAGTGTTGTAGCAACTTGTCCCTTGTTGAGAAGTTAATTTGTATGCAGATACATGATTATGATCTGATTTATGCCAGTTAAATGGTTTTTAATATTCTTATTTTTAAGAAACTACAAAATAATAATAAAGTGGATACTGCATGTTTTGAGCTTAGATGCTACCCCCAAACTGTTTATAAAAAAAGTAAGTTGGGTACTCATCTTTATAAAAATCACTTTAGTTAGGCATTAATTTGCGTATATAAATTGAAGGAACAGTTAAGTCTGAGCTAGGATTTGCAGATCCCTTGAAGCCCATATGAAAAAGTTTATTTTGATGTACAGTTAATATTTAGGATTTTGACAACAGTAATACCTTCTCCACGATAGTTTCTAGAGAGTTAATGGAGTCCCTGGGTGGCACTTGGCTACCAACCAAAAGGTTGGTGGTTCAAATCCATGCAGAGGCACCTCAGAAGAAAGGCCTGGCAATCTACTTCTGAAAGGGCGCAGCCATTGAAACCCTATTCGAAGTTCTACTTTGGAACGTATGTGGTCTCTCTGAGTCAGAATTGACCCGATAGTAACTGGGGTTTTTTGTTTGTTTTATAAAGAGTTAATTGTTAGCCTCAGCTATAAAAATAGGTGAGATTTTCCTAAGGCACCCAAGATTTTAAGAAGTTTGACTGGTTTGTGGAGCAGAAGTGATTGGTTGAGGAATTAGTGGTAAATTAAAAAAAAAAAAAAAATTCTTACTCTATAAACAAGATTTTAGATGCTTGCCTTTATGCCTAATGATGCTCTGCATTCAGGTGTTTACCATTGTGCTTATTTTTATTCCTAGGAAGAGAGAAGGGCACAGTTACCTAAATATCAGCGTAATCTTCCTCGACCAGGACAGGCTCCCATTGGTAATCCACCCGTAGGACCAATTGGAGGTATGATGCCACCACAGCCAGGCATCCCACAGCAACAAGGAATGAGACCCCCAATGCCTCCTCATGGTATTTCTCTCTTTATTTTTATTGCATTTAGTGGATTTTTTGAGTATACACACAAAATGCTAAAATTATCTGCAAAATACATTGCATTTAAAAATATAATTCATAGACCAACTCAATCTATATTTTGTTTTTTTAAATGTGTTTTTTAGGTCAATATGGCGGTCATCATCAAGGCATGCCAGGTTACCTTCCTGGCGCTATGCCGCCATATGGGCAGGGACCGCCAATGGTGCCCCCATACCAAGGTGGGCCTCCTCGACCTCCAATGGGAATGAGACCTCCTGTAATGTCGCAAGGTGGCCGTTACTGATCTTACTTCATCCAATCTAATAGGTTTGGAGATTAAACCTTTTCTCAACTTGTGCTGTTTATATAGCCAAGCTTCCGTCAATTAAGGCTTCATTGTGACTTTAACAAACATTATCTTCCCACATACCAGGAACTATTGGACATTTATTTTACATGGGAAAAATTATTTGGAATAATAAAGCAGGAACTTTTCCTGAAGTTGCAATTTATACTGTATGGCTTCTTTTTCATGTTTCATCTAGGTTTTTAGAAGTGAAGTATAGTAAATTTGGTTCGTTAAATTGTGAAGGCGCTGGAATTTCATGAACATACCATCTTAATAAAGGCAAGTTCTGTAAGCTTACATTGTTATTTGTAAAGTTATGCCTTCACAGCATTTCAGATGCTGTTGGACTTTATGTCCCCAACCTAGCTTGGTGAGGGCTGTAACTGTTTCCAAGTACCTGTACATTGGAAGTTTGAATGTGTAACGATATTTAATGTATTTAGAGTTCCTCATGTTGCAGGGTTTAAGAAATCTGACCCACCAAGGTCATGTCACTTTTCTGTACTGTTAAACTTCATTGTAATAAAATGAGAGAAAACTTTATGCCTTTTTATTCATAATCCAGCTGTGGACCACTGCCTGAAAGGTTTGTACAGATGCATGCCACAGTAGATGTCCACGTAATAAAATTCATAGTTATCAGTGCAGTTTTGGTATATCATTGGATTTTGTCTTTGAATTGTAGGTTGTTCCTTAGCTGCATGTTGTAAACTGGAGAGTATACATAAATGTATGTTGATACTTCAGTTGACAGAAAAACTTTAGATACATATGAGTCATTATGGGCATTAAATCTTTATATTCTGTTTCCTTTCCACCCCCTCTGGTGTCAGTACATATCAGATATCATTTAAAATGTAAACTTCAGTACTCTTTCCTTCCTGCTAATGATGTTTAGAGTCTAGTGCCAGACCTGTCCATTTCGTTCTGATTATTTTTGAGACTGCAGTACTGCGTGGACCTCAGAAGCTTTTCAGGTGCAAACTTCTAGAAGCTTAGGTGCATGCAGTAGTAGTTTGTGCTATTAATGAGTTGGTGTATATTATTCTAAGTGTAGTGCTGAAAATCTAAATGTGCCTGTGTTAGGGTGTTAACAGATGAATTAACTTTTCAATTTTATTATATTCCTGGAAGATTTTATTATTTATTTGATTATGATTAGGTAGATAACCTTTTGTTATTATTAAGCCTCAACTGCTTTACTGTTAAACTTTTCATTCATGGAAATTTGAATGTTACTGTGTTCCTATAGGGAACTTTTCTGTAGAGGTGACAGCTATTCAGTATTTTGTGTTGCAAGTGTCTTTTAATAATAGCTCTTGTTGAATTTTTTGGCATCTTTTTTTTTTTTTCCTGGTCTTTCATTATTAAGTATCAGATAACCTATACAAAGTATAATTATTAATATTCTTGATATAAAGTTGACTTCTAAGAAATGGTAACATTTATTTGTGACCTTTATGTGAAAGTGTAGATACAAGACATGAAACCTGAAGTTTTGTTTTAAAAAAAAAAAAAGCTTTGAACTTGTTGAAAAATATACTTAACAATATTTCTAATAATCACAAAAGTCCATACTTAAGTGACAAGTAAAAGTCATTCATTTAAACAAGATATTGTGAATATTATAAAGTTGAATGCTGTTTTAAATCGAATATGTTGCTCCAGGGTTTTTATAGCTCCTGTGCTGTGGTGCCATTGAGGTGTACAAAGTTCCATAGCTTGGAAAGGAAGCATCTAGTATCAGCTAGAATGCATTTTTTTTGCTAGCAGCCAACCCTCAAACCCCTTCCCACACTGAATACGTGCCTACCTAAATTGTTTTGGAACTAACATACAGTTAAGGTTTGGCAGCACATTTGTCCTGCCAAAGAAGAACTTCTGTTTAAAATATCTAAGGTAAAAATGCTGTGATTAAATTTAGCATGATAGGAAATGCTCTCCCAAACCCAAATGTCTCAAGCATTTCCTATATAGGCTTGCCACCAACTTGAAAAAGAGTTAGTATATCTATTTCCAAAATTATGCAAAGCTATTATTTGCATTTTATGCAAAGAGGGCTGATATTTTATAGCAAAGTTTGTTGCTTTCTGAGATCTGAAGGGAGAAACTATTACTCTTAAAAATAGATGTTAGAATTCTAATTAAAAGTTAATTTAAAATAATTCAGAGTGTTATGCATGGCACTTAAAAAATTTAAATACACCATTTGCTGTGTATTGTTGCTATATGGCTCAGAGGTGGTGCCCATTTGATGTATCTAAATGTAATTTGCGCATGCATCACAGTGTAGTTAAGCTTCTAGAAAATACCTTCTACCTAACTGCTTCTGGGGTCCATAGTGTGCTTAAATTGTGAGTGGAACAAATTACAATGAAATAATTAACTCTTTGAGTTATGCTTCTGTAAGTAAAAATGAAGATGAGTTGAAGTAAACTTAAACTGCCCTCACAGAAGACAAGTTCTGGGAATTGATACATTCAGGCAGGCAGTGTAATTGCTGTAATAAAGGAAGTTGTAATATTAATTGGACTGTCAGCTTTGGCTCTACATGCCATCTACTCCTCCTTATATATCATCACTCTTTTTAGAAAAACAAAAGCAACCTAAACATTTTGTCTGGCACTAGCTTCTATTGTATCGATTTCACTGCTGTATGACAGTACCAAGACCAGCAGGTGAGGATCAACTTTTGAGTGGCTGCTGGATTTATCATTTGACTTGAACACCTAATGCTGTAGTAATTTTTCACACATTTGCCTCAGGATGTGGGAAACCACTCTTAGGTGTACTCCTGTTCCATTGATTAAGTTACAAATTGAACTCAAAACTCAGCTTAATATTAAACTTAGTTATTTGGGGAGAAATCCCCAACAAAAAGAGTATAGGCTCAGAATGGAATTATAGTGGACAGTAGTAAGAAAAAAAAGCTATTCTTTTTCCTTAATTGCTTGGTCACTGGGATTTTTTTTTTAATGCATGTCTTTTAAATTAATTGGGTGATGTTTTTCTAAAATTAAAATTTTCTTCTTCCTATAGCCCTGCCATAGGACAGGCTGAGGCTGAGTCTCAGTGTTGCCCTGTTCAGTCTGAGGCAAGTGGGATTTATTTTATTCCTTATGGGGGCTTTCACAGCTTTATGGCTGTTGGATATTTATGTCCCCAAACTTGCAGCAAGTTTGGTGAAGGCCCCTAAATTTAATTAAATTTAGGATTTTTATAATTTTTTGGCAGAGATGGCTCTATATTAATATTCACGTTTGACTGTGGTGTTAAGAAAAATGAGTATTTGGTATGTGCTATTTTACATAATTTACTTTGTATTATATACTATTTAACAGCCTCAGTAAAGCTTACGTTACTATATTGAACTTTAGCAAATTAACAAAATTTGACATTCCTGATTTGGAGGCATGAAACACTTCATTCAAATTTTCTGCTTTCCCTTTTAGGAAAATATTACTGGTTATTTTCTCCTCAAACTACTAAATTTAATCTCAAGGATAAATTTAAGCATTGGAATTACCACTAGATACTGAAATCTACTTTCTGAATCCTAAACTTATGCATTGAACATTAAGGTCGAAAGGTCATCTGGAAGTGCTTGTGATTTTTAATATTTTCAGACCTCACCACATTAGAGCAAATGTTAATGTAGAGCCCTGTGAAGAGTGGGAAGGTGGGGTGGGTGTGTTTGTGTGTGTTGTGTATGTATGGGCGTAGGCTACACATGCAATTTAATAAAAGAATAACAAGAGTGTGGGTATTATAAATCTGTCAGTATAGGTAGATTACTAGTTTTCAGTAAGCCAAACAAGTTGCATCATGCAGTAAAATTACTAGTATGTTAAATATGGCTTTAGAGTGGTTCTTTTTTAAGGTTCATTTTTAGCCTTCCTGAACAACAATTTATGTAGTATGCACACACAAAAAGTGTCCACTTTTATTCCCAACTAAAATTTGCTTTCATTTGGTGAGAAAAATTGTATGTATGTGTGTTTGCTGGAGGAGGTAAAGAGGGAATTGGAAGACAGGCCAAAACAAACCTCGATTGCTTTTGTTCTTCTTGACGATTCTATCCAGATAGCATTTTTCTCTGAAGAAACTACAAATAGTACAGTGACTAGCAAACCCAGGATTGTGTTTCTGTGTGGTTTTCATTGTTGGAAGCATAAAGAAAGAATAAGTGTTAAGAGAATCTAAAATTTTGACCAGTTTAATTAAAACATTTGCTTTTAACTGTTGTAACTGAATAAGCTATCATGAAAAAATATTTTGATAAAAATTTTGATGCTTCCACAACAAAGTATTCCGTTGGAATATTTTATAACCATCTCAGTAATTACACTTCATAAGACTTCTTGATTGGAGATCTCTTCTCTCTCACACTCACAACTTCCCAGTACATTGAAATCTCTTGAAGCTGCTTGTCCTAATATAATTGAAATAATTATAATCGAAATAGGTTCTTATTTATCTCAGTACTGGGGGTGGGAGTAGGATTTCTATGGGTGGCATAATTTGTTGGAGGTGATACGGATATCTGATTTAAGATGTAGTTCATTTGTTGTCTTTGTAGTTCTGTGACTCAGATAAGAGTTTGAGAATTATGTAAGTTTCAAATGTCCATAAAGTCCACTGGTAAAACTGGGTAAATGAAAGAAAATACTGAAATCCCTTCTTACTGAGCTAACATTTCGTCTAAGCATAAACTTTTGTGTTGGTTAGGGGATAGAGAAATACTAAACACATGCCCTAAAATTTTATATTAAGCAGGTATGTCTTTTTAAAAAAACAGCATTTACCTAATACTGAATAACCTTTATAGCTTATTCCAAAATGAAATTGGTTTTCTCTTACTATAACTTTTATGGAAATGTCATCTGAAAGTGGAATTTCATTTATCACACTACTGACTATTGAGGACAGAGTTTAGCTATCACATGACTTGACTATTAGGGAAGGTTACTCCCTTTTTTTTTTAATTTCTTTCTCTGTATTTTGCTTTCTATGGTAATTTTAATAGGAAACTTTTGTGTTTCATAGCATAGAAATCATCTGACTTTTTGTGTGATACTTCTTGGCAAAATAATAAGCACTTATTTTAATGATGGTTGTATTAGTGTCATGAATATCGTGGATATTCATAATTTTGTAATGCTAAATTCTCAGAACTATACTGATAATATAGTAAGCTCTTAGGTATCTCTTTTTATGAACTAATTCAAATTAATGCATAGAAATGGAGAGAGCAGGACTTCGGTTTGAGCTCTGTAATACTTTAAATATCACCAGCTTTTCCAAGTGTTTAAGACCTAAAAAAACGTATCTTTTTTCATGTCCTTAGTTATTGGAAAATAGATGGTTCAACAGTAACATTTTAAAAGAAATTTCTTCAGTAAGGCTCAGAAGAGAGTTGTTGCTTTTATAAGTACTTTGTCCTGCTCTGCACTTTATACATTCTTGAGTAACATTTAGGCCTTGAAAAGTTTTGTTTTCTTGCCAATCCTGGAAAAATATTTACTCTAAATTAGTTAGGAATTTTTGAACCTTTTTTTTAACCTGTTCATCTGATATCGCCTCAGGGGAAAATATTTTATTTTACTAAGCAGAATGTAAAAAGTCAGTTGAAGGCAGAAACTGAGACCTAAAGGAGGCCTTTATTGAAGTTAATTAGAACTCTTTTCTACTTGAAGCAAATCGAACTCTAGTGTTATAAATCATTAAATGGAAACTTTCATGGTTAGGCTTTTTTAGGAGGCGTAATCACCAGCTATATTATGAGAATTTGTTTGTGTATGTTTTGATTTTGATCAAATTAAACTATGAAAGATTCATGTGTGTAAACTATTCTAACAGTTGATTGATTAATTTGGACCCTACCCATTAATCCTAAATATTGTAATGGTGTTGTAAGGTTGTGATACGGCACAGCTTCAGTAATGCAAAGTGTTTTTGGTCAGTGGTTTGTGTAACGCTGTGTTTGTAAAAAGGTGGAAGTCCTTTATTGGTATTCTCTAAGTCCGCTGCCATTGTTTACGATGTTTGGAGTTTTACCATTATGGTTACAGAATCCTCAAAGTTACCTGCCTTCACCTTTGGTTAAATTTAAGGAGAATTTTGAGGAACTGGCAATGAAGTTCATTGATGCCCAACTTGGATAAAAATGAAGACACACAGACCTTGAGTATTTGGGAGAAGAGGTCATCGTATAGTATGTTAGACTTGAGAACCAGAAATGTAATGAGAGATAATAGCATTCCTGCTCTTGATTTGCATTTGTTACTGAGGTGTCACTAAAACATTTCATGTAGCTGTTTCTTAACATTTTACTCATAAATAGTTCAACAATTTATTACTCAGATCAAAAAATAAGATTTGCCACATCATTTCCCAGTCGCTACTACTAGTAAAATGAGGCTGCTTAACTACCCACGTGGACCAAGGGACGAGTTATTTTATTAGTCAAAATTATGAAGTTCCTGTAAGTTTGAGTTAAAATATGTGATGTACCTAGTTATTGAGCAAAAAGCTCCTGTTTGAGCTTTTAGTTAGTATAGTCTAAGGAGAAGCAATAGAATTTGCTTTTCAGCCCATGTTTTTAAAATTGAAAATCTCTAATATAAGAAAATGAAATCAAGTTTTTTGAAAATTGAATTAAAAGCTATTATAGATGGCTTGCCCTGTCGGGTACGTCTGCGTATGCTTAAATTGAGAGATTATCATGTTTAAGAGATTATTTTTTTGCTTTCCCCTATTCGTTACCCCATTTTTTAGAGTAAACCAAAGTTTATGTCACCGTTCACATGCTGGAATACATAGTTAATTAAAATTGAGACATCCGAGAGATACTTAGTGTTCTCATAAGGTCACTATAAATTTAATAACTAATGTAAGGTAACCTTGTAAGACTTAGGGAAAAAAGTTTTAAATGTATTAATATCAGGCTCTGAGGAAATTTAATGCACATTGACTTTTTAAACTATGGGTTGAACTCCTCAGTTTAATACAATTTGTGTTTTTGTTAACTAGCAGCAGAATTTCAGCATTTGCTACTTACTGGTAGAGAAGAAAAATCCCACAGCCCTGCCAGTACAGGTTAGTTTAATCTGTAAGTACCTGATGTTCCTATTTTTTTCAAACATATCCATATAACCCACACAAAGAAGAAAGCTATGCAGTTACTTAAATGTGAGTATAACTAATAATAGACCCATTGGACACTTACAAACACTCAGCATTTGGGCCAAAGCAGCTCTAGGTTTGCTAAAACTCAGTTGTAATAAAGGTGTAATACTGCTCCTTTATTTTTTTATCTCGTGGTTGAACCAAAATAGCTATGTTGTACATAAAAGGAAACGACAGCAAAATTTTTGATTGACCGTGCCCATGTTGGTATATAATATGGAGTCCCCCAGGGCTTTGGGTCTGTCTTTTACTTAAACCACTCCATGGTGGTTCTCGTTATTCACCTTTTAACTTTTCACAGTATGAATCAACCTCAGAAAAACAGACAAGTTTCCTCACTTTTAGCAATGATAAAATGGTGTACAATCATAATCTAGAAAATGTTTTTATACTGCTTTTTGTTCTTAAATGTTTTTAGTAACTCTTGGTGTAAGTAAGTACTAATTTTTTTTGCTCATCTTTTTTGTGAACTGTAACCTGTTGGTGCACCACTGTGGATTCATTTTACTTTGGACTAAAGAATAACCTTATTTTTTAATATTCAAATGAGAGTAGGTTGTCCATCCAGAAATCTAGACAGATTCTTTGTGTAATCCTTTTGAGGGGCAATGGGGACATAATGGGTGGTGAAAAATGTATTAAAATTTTTATTTTTCATTCTAGCAAACAAAGTGTGTCTTGAAATATCCTGAGAGATTTTCTTTGACCTTTGAATATTGTGTTTCTTATTTTGATATAAACTTAAAACAAGGAGGGAGGAATAAAGCATATAACTCAATTTCTACAAGTGTGAACTATCCTTCCAATCTGTTGTTGTTAGGTGCTGTTGAGTCGGTTCCAACTCACAGTGGCCGTGTGTACAACAGAATGAAACACTGCCCGGTTCTCCGCCTTCCTCACAATGGTTGCCATGTTTGAGCCCATTGTTGTAGCCACTGTGTTAGTCCATCTTGCTGCATTGACTTGTTGATGTATGGCTTCAATAATGTCTAATTTGAGACAGTGTAGCCCTAAAACTAACTGATCTTGTGCAGTGACTAGCCACTGAGATAGTGACTAGCCACTGAAAACAGACTATCTTAATGTCATTTTATATAGAAGTCATGCATTCAGTTAGCTAACTTAGATTTATCAACTGATAATAAAATACATTCTGTAAGACAGCCACTTTTTGTTTTTTTTTTTTAAGAGAAAATTGCCCTAAGGGCTTAAGTTTCATTGCCTTTCACAGTTTAATCTGTATAAGAAATGGCGTAGACACAGTCGAAATGGTTTTCCTTAAAACCATCTCTGTAAAGCTGTCTTTCTGGTGAGTATTATCTTATAGTTTTATATGTCACAGTTTTACTTTTTATAAATTAATGGAAATGAGGCACTTTGATCAAAGAAGTGAACAATCTGAATTTCTACATCTCTTTGGAGATTACCTGAACCAGGAATATTAAGAAGGTGATTTCTGCCTGGCATTTTCCCACTAATTCCTGGTTCTGTTTTTTTCTTACCTTCACATAGCAGACTATAAATAACTGCATAAACTTATTATTTGTTTTGCACAACATGAGTCACGTAAACGGCGTCACTGAATTGTACATGTAAAAAATGTTGAATTGTCAAATATGTTATTTTTTTAATTAATAGTTTACTGTGTTTTAGGCAAAAGTTTACACAGCAGATTAAGTTTAACAATTTTTACACAAATTCTTCTGTGCCATTGGTTACAATTTTTACAATGTGTCAGCATTCTCATTTCCATTCTGTTTGTTCTGTTTCCATTCCTCTAGCGTCACTTCCCCTTGCCTTCTCATGTTTGCTTTTGGGTAAATGTTGACCGTTTGGTCTCATATAGTTAATTGTTTAAGTGAGCACATTGCTTGTATAAACTTTTAACACATATGCTGTCTAGCACTTAAATTTTAATCTCAAGGTTTTCTTTTTAGTTGACAGCCACGGCTTTTGGTTCCCATATTGCATAGGTGTTAAATTAAAATACGAGAATTTTTTTTTCCATTGTTCTTGTTGAAGCTGTTGCAGTGATTTATGGGCAATTAAGCTGAGGTTAGGGTTGAAGGAGAGTTTACCTAAATTGGTCACGCAGACCAGTTGCTTATAAGGTTCTCTGAGATGTGAAATTTTCAAGTGTATTCTTAAATATTCTAACTCTGCATGAAATACTTGAGTTAGAAATACTGATTTCTGGGATTGTGTATGGCAGGAAAACTAGTCTCTGGGTATATTTGTAATTTATGCCCTGTTTTATATTTTCCCTCAATGTAACGCATAGGTTTTTTCCCGTTGTAGTTTTTAGCCACATCCTAGCTAATGTCAACATAAGGATGTTTTCATATTGTATTTCCTGCTGTGATCTTTGTGAATCAATAAAACAGTAGTCAAATCTGATTTTTAGTATGAGCAATGATAGTCTTCTAAAATAAATATGAAGATTGATGTGTGAGTATGTAACATGGTAATATATTCTAGATAAGCATTAAACCAAGTATGGACCCTCAGTTTATATCTTGAAGATTTAAAATGTATTTCTAAGGAACTGTGTCCTTTCCAGCAGGGATAAACAGACATTGCAAATTTGGTAAGTATGTAACTTTAAATGCATGTATTAGTTTTGAGAATCAGTAGCCAGATTTCCATAGTTTAATATAATATTCAGAATTGAGAAAGAATTCTTGAATTTTCTTTGCAACTTAGTGTATATGTCTAGAATTTTACAAATTTGTGTGCACAATGATTAAATTAAACATACCTTTCTCCATTGTCTGTTTTCTTTTTATTTTGTGTGGTGGTGGTTAAAATACTGATTTTATATTTTCAGGCTTTCTTCAGGGTAGAAATAAGTAGCTGGTAAAGAAAATATCTTCAGTAACTAGTTAATATACCTTTTTAAGACTCAGTAGTAAATTTCAGTTTACTTAAGCCTTCTGTTTCTCAGGTCTAATTAAAACTGACAACAGGCAGCTGTTTCTGGAATATTATAGGAATCAGTGCATAATAGAATTATAATATTAAGCCACTACTTGATTTACATAGAAGTGGTGCTTTTTAAATCATAAGGGAGGAAGGCTGATGAAATTTGGAGTTTCTCCCCTCCCCGGGACATTGTATCAATAATAGAAAGATAATACATGGAGGTTCAAGTGAAACATTGCTACAACAAGGAAGGTGATTTCTGAGAAGTATGTCCATTTCTTTCAAAACGAGTCTAGCATTATCACAGAGGGTTGTAGGAAAGAGGGGTCCTGTCCCTCAGTTTAGTTCCTGGCTTAATGCCAGCCTTGTTCTGGCAAGGAGGGAAATAAAGAGCAAGTCATACAAGAATATTATTCTAAGGAGGACCTGGACAAAGTAAAGGATGAATGGCTTGTCCATGTGTATGAGTAAATGGTCTAACTAAACCAAAAAAACTTAAACGGAGTTTTATTTTTAAATAAAATTTTTTAAATCAGGTAATAATAGTGCGTCTGTCACTTTGATAAGCCATGTCATCTGGTGAAATTGATGAAAAGTACTGTGAAATGAAACTGAGGACCACACAGTGTATAACTATGTTTAGTTTTAGTCTACTGGTAGGAACTGGAGGGAGAGAGATCCCCTAGTGTATGTAGCCATATAATCAGAACTCTCACAAAAGGCAATGAAGTCATCTGTTTCGTTTTGGAGGAGGTGGTCTGAGGATGTTGGCTAAGCTTTAGAAAAGCCAAAACTATATTTGAAAGATGGTGTTTTATTTTCATACCTGAAGCAATTTCCAGTTTGTGTATTTACATGTAAAATATTTTTATTTTTGCTTCTGCATTATTACAAGCAAGTCTTTTTGTTTCGTGGTGATGGTTGACCATTAATTCATTAACCTTCTATGCCTGTGATCTACAAAGATGAATAAAATCTTTCATTGATTACTTATGATACTTGTCTGAGCCCATTTTGTTAAATCGTATCCAGAACAGTTCATACTGAAAATAAAATTTAATGATGATCATCAGCTGTCCTGAGCAGTTTTTGATGGGCTCGGGGGACCAAAAGGCAGAGTTATTTTTATTATATATGGATTGTTTGTAAGGACAAAATATTTAAAGGGTAAATGACCATGTTTAGACAATTTGGGCATGGAAAATGTGATACAGTATTGAGGTTGGACAGGTAGGTGGGGCCAGAAGTAGCAGTGATTTAGACTAAGCATAAATGAGAGCCTACGACCAAGTCTTTGTTTCATCATTTAGTAGTTACATGGCTTTGAGCAAGTAACTCCTAAAATGATAGTAATAGTTTCACAGGTTTGTGAGAAATACTTGCGTGTAAAACAACTTAAATTTGTCAGCACTTTGTAAGTGCTCATTGAGCATTTTCTGTGGGAACTGTCATAGTGTACAACTGGAGTAGCCTTGTCAAACCAGTGAAAATGGGAAGGGTGGGGGCAGGCAGTTACTGCAATTTAAATATATTTAGTAAATAATACTTAGTATGTACTTGGATACTATCCTTTGTAAAGATACAGAGTAGACAGTAGATGCATCCAAAAAGGGAACCTCAGAGCTGAGGATTTGAGAAGCCAGCCCCCATGCAAAACGTCTTGTTGGTAACTGTTCCAGGCAGGAGGAATAGTAGGTATAGAAACCCTTAATGGAAGAGCATAACATCTGGGAGAAACACAGTAAGGTATGAAAAGGGTGGGAGGTGTGTGTGTGAATGGAGGTTGGAAATGTAGCTGGACCAAATGACGCAGGACCTTGTAGGCCATGGTTTGAGTTTATTCTAGTGGAAATCCAAGAATATATTAACCTATCTCAGGACAGAACTCAGGAATAACTGGTGTGATGAATTGCTGTGACTAGATAATCATTGGAGAAGTTAGGTAGTGTGGGTCTAATGTGAAAAGCACAGAAAAAAAAGGAAGTTCAGTTTTTTTGCACATGGTTTAGTCTCCACGCCTGATCCTGTAAGACTTACCTACCTGAGAAATGTTTAGGATCTTGTAAGACCTTGAAAGGTAAAAATGAATCTTAAGTTGGTCTTAGAGCATTAGAAGAATAAATATGAATACATCAGTGCTAATACAAAGAAGAAAGTGAAAGTAACCCCAGAGAAATTTAATTTGGGGCATTAATAATTCTACTTGATTGTGCCAGGGGAAAATGCGTTTGAACTACACCTTGAAGGATAGTAAGGATTTGGACAATTTGGAAAAGTGTTAGGAGAAAGACCGGAAACACGATAGTACGGGAGTATGTGAAGAAAAGTAGAGAATGGGATGGGAAGGTGAGCTGAATCTAAAGTGTCAGGGTCCTTGAATACCATATTGGGTATACACAT